TCCGCCCTTGCAAAGACACTCATTTTCCTTTCTCAGGGTTGAAAAGCTTTAAGGTTTCCAACATTTTCGCCTAGAAAAACTTGCACTTTTTTCTGCATAACAGAACTTTGATGGCCACGTTTAACATCTGTGTGTGAGAAAAATCCTACACGAAGCCGCTCTTCAGTCTATGGCTGAAGAATCAGAAAATACTTCTAAAAAAAATGAAAGAAAGGGAAAGAAGCAAGTCGGCTGTCGCTTAATTCGTTTTATGCATAGAATGTGAGATAATATGAACCCCTATTAACATTAATAATTAAAAGTAGTTAAAATCGCTATTTTGGAAGACTGTCTGATAGAAATCCATGCAAATTTATTGGTGCAAAGTGCGCAGCGATGACGTCAGACTCGCCGCAATGAGCTTTCCTGTTCGAATACAGTCAAAGCTGCGGCTGTCAGTGTTGACTTGTTGATAAACATAAATGCCTTAGAGTTTGAGGTTATATGTAAGAAAGTAATGGCAAATCTGCATACTTTATTCAGTTGTGCTGTGTTTCTCTTGTTAATTGTCCCTGACGAATAGTCGGCATTTTCCTGCACAAGCAGAATGTATACAATTAAACCATATTAAGCCGTTGACCTCAAGAGAACAGTAACGACCTCACTTTCAATCAGAGACTGGTAGCATTAAACTGAAATAGCCCAGGCGTTTCCCCAAAGCGATGGCAATGTATACTGAAGACGAAGCGAACTCCTATTTGAAGTATCTTAATGACTCTGAAACCCCCAATGCTTATTTGCTCGAAAATAATGAAGTGGGGCTGTTTTCAGTGGAGCCCATATTTACGGAAATGGCGGCATCTGATTGGCCTCATGATGGGTTCCCGCTTCTATTGACCAATTCTTTGATTGCAGAAGGTAGTTTGGAAGAGTGCCAAAGTAATAACAACTTAGTTCACCCACCTAGTGATGCTGAAGACCTACCTGAAAATATTGCTCTTCAAAATATTGACCACTGTCTAGAACCAACTGATGATGATCTTACCACAATTCATCTAACAGAAGAAGGGTCTGAAATTAGTTTGGAGCATATTGGCAATGCAGTTTCGGTTCAGGAGGTTCCTTTCATTCAATTACATAGCAGTAATGAAGATATGATGGAAACATGTCTGCAATTTGATGGAAATGAACTGGAGAAAGATGATTTGGAGGCTTTCAAGCGCGAAGAACCCGATAGAGTTGTAAAATCGCTATCAGATGAAAGTGTGTTAGTGACAAATAAACGGAAACATGCAGATGTAGCCAAAAGAATTGAACTACTAAATTCCGATGGAACTCCCATTCCTATTGACGATTCAGTGTTGGCTAGTTTGAAGTTACGTGGCGCTCAGAAAAGATCACCACCTATTCAGGAAAAGCCTAAATTGCAGCCAATCAGCGACTTATTCTCTACTGTAATTGCCAATAAATGTAAAGTCTGTTCATTTTTGTGCGAGGATTTGCAGCAGATTAATGAACACATCAGTACTAAACATTTAGAATATGTAAGTTTTTTGTTTTGCTTTTTATCAAGTACTATCGTTTTCCGTAATTTGCAGATTTTTAGCAAGGAAGCACCATCGAATATGTCTGCATTGGCAATCAATCCGAAACCTGTGGAAAATAGAGAATTCACCATCTATGTGTGCAGTGAGTGCCGTGCAGTTTGCACTACTAAGAATGATTTGAAAAATCATATGATCGGGGTAAAGATGTTAAAGCATGCTTTTAATTAGTCGCTTTTTTTCACGCGAAACCGGCCCATGATGATTGATTATCATTTTAATGTAAAATCTGAAAACAATTTGACTGAAAACCCAAGAACTTTGAACATTTTCAAACCCAGCAGCGTTGGTAAACATTACATTTCTGTGTAAACTGCTTGAACAGCAAAACCAAAAAATTCAATAAACAAAAGCTCACATTCGGTTATCTTTCTTAATTAATTAACCGATTTATTTCACACATCATGTTCCTTATAAGTGTAAAAACATGTCTGTTTAATTGGATTCTCTGTGCCACAAATTCGCTAGTCACAGCACTTGTTTAATATTTACAGTTTTACAATTCCAGATGCACGGTTTAGTAACGCAGCCCCTGCCCGATTCGAATGGGTACCAAGAAACGTTAGCCGAACCAGTAAAGAAAATGTCCGCATATTCAGATGATGTAAACCATATACTTGTTAGAAAGCAAGAGAAAATGCTACAAAGAGTGAAGTAAATGTCTTTATTTTCCAGTTGAAATTATTGGGAGTAAGTGTAGATGTGTTTTGCAACTTTAGGTGTACCGTTAAAGGATGCATAGCAGCATTTCCGAGTGAAGAACTTAGACGAAGGCACGAAAGTCTTCACATTGGCAACACCAAAAGTATGTTTAAATGTTCAGACTGTGATAAGCAATTTATGTCGTGGGTCATTCTCAGAGGGCATATGCACAAGGAACATGGCATCGATTTTGGAATGATTGTCTGCCCCATGTGCAGCATGTTCAAAACTTATAGAACTGGTATTTCCTCTCCATGCTTTGTCCGTTAATTTTACTGATATAACGATTTTATTAGTGATGATGTTCAAGCACATGATGATTCATTCGGATGTCAAGCCGTTTTTGTGCAGCGATTGTGGCAAATCGTTTCGACAACTTTCGCAACTAAAAAATCATGAAGCTTCCCATAAAATGCCTGATGATGTAAGACGAAAATTGATATTAAACGCCTGTTTTTTACAATGCTCAAGGTGTTTTAGATGCCCACGTGGTCCAGAGTGAAAAAGTGTGATAAATGCAATCAATTTTTTGCGAATTCCAAAAGTCTTAAATGCCACATCAAGACAGTGCACGAGAAAATCAAGCCCTTCATTTGCAATATATGTGGACACAAAAGCTCACGGAAAGCTATGCTAGAGGTAAGTGCTGTATTTTCAGCATTCATCTGGCTTTTGTCAGTTATACTGTAGGTGGGAACGGCATAAAACTTGTCTCGTGTTACAATTAACAACACCAACGAAATTAATAAATATATTATGTCCGAAATACAACAATATTCTAATCTGAAATATGTTTATAAGTATTACAAATAAAATTTTCCTTCCAGTTGCATATGAGGCAGCACACCGCCTCAAAGCCGTTTAAATGCGACTACTGCAACTACCGAACAGGAGACCACAATTGTTTGAGAAAACATGTAATGAAACATGTTGGGGTAGAAACAAGTAAACATTTACAAAAAAAAACATTGTATATATTTGTAATTTGCAGGCGGTGGGATATCAGTGCCCTTACTGCACATATACTTGCATACAGGCCGGTTCACTGAAAGGCCACTTCCGAGCCAAACATAAAAATAAACCAGGCGTTTATTTCTGTAAATATTGCGCTTATAACACAATCAATGATTCATCCCTGAATGCGCATGAGATCAGTCACCATTTATCATCAAAAGGTACGTAACACCCAAATAACTGTCCTTGATAAAGTTAGTTATTAAATTGAACACGCTATAAAAACATAAGACCCTGCAAATGTGTTTTAAATACCAGTTAAGCAAAAAAAGAACTTTCTTGGCATAGTTACATGAGCAATTAGTGTAAAACTTGATCAACAATTTTGTTGGTAAAATGTGGGTACTTCCACAAGATTCACCTTTTGATTATTATTATTTATTTCAGGTACTTTAAATAGTGATAGCAACCTAGAGGCTAGGGATAGTTTAATAAATACCGATCTACAGGTATAACTCGCAATTTATTTAAAATTATAATTTTGTGTACTGTATTTCAATTTCAGACTGATGAAGAAACTCAAAGTTGTTTTTTGAATACCGAATCCCAACTTGAGGAAGCAATAGATAATGGCGGCATAACAATTCCTGCAGATTTGGAATTGCCTTAATTGTAACTTTAAATATTAGGTAAATTAGAATAATTAAATATAATTTATTTCTTCTTAAAAAGGGATATTTCTGTGGCCTGGTTAGACCATAATGTAACGCTGCAAATAGCCGCGCTGTATTTTCCCACCGTACTCTATAATTCATGTACGACACGAAATAAATAATGTTTGCAGGGATTGAATGAAATACCTGCACATTTCGCCAAATTGAAAAATTGGTAATTTAATATAAACATAGAAACTTGATTTTTTTTATGCAAAACTAAACAGTCAAATCATCTAAACAACACTCATGAATCCGACTTCTGCTGTGCTTGATCCCCCAATTTTTTCTCTTCCATCGCCTCAAGTTGTTCTAGCGTTAACAAAGACACTCCTAGTTGGTCCTCTCTGGTGAATGGTTGAGCCATCTGCCTTAACCACCTCTTGGCAATCTAAAACCCTCTTTTCGTCAACCAAATTCTTTCTCAATTAATGGTCCTTCACCTGTATCGCTTCTTCGGTAGACAGGTTGCAAAGGCTATCCTTCAAATGCTCTTGAATCCATTTGGGCAACTTCGATCTTTTATCTGCCCGAGAGAATCGTTTGTCGGCGAAAATCATAATACCGTAATCGGTTTTCCCTCTAATTGCTCTTCCTACGCATTGGGCCGCATGTCTCATCGCGTCGAAAGTCAGAAAATCGTTCTCCCTAATCTAGAAACGGGTCATTGTGTATGTTATGGGTCTCTCTAGAAATGGGCGGATTTATTTTTTTAAAGTTATAAGTGCGCGAAATTTAGTACCAGATCTCAGCTGTAAGGCGCTTAAACTGTAAGTTTAACTTCCGCTTGTAGGTTCACTATTATTGCACATAATTTAAGTTATACAGGGCCTACCCGAATTGATTAGAACTGTGTACTGTGAGGTGTAAAATTAGTCAGGATGCAACGATGAAAATCGCATAAAATACATCTATTACTGCTTGTATCAAATTTACCTGAAACTGATCCCTGAGATAATCTAATCGGGCCTTCAATATTCTGGACTGAGTGTAGACATATGGAATACCAAACATTAAAACAGCCCTTCCCAGATGATGATCGAAGTCCACTCCTTCAGATACCTTGCCCCGTGCTACCGATAGCAAAACAGCACCTCGTCCGGATTCACAAGCCTACGACATAAATCGATTTACCTCAAAAGTTTGATTAGTTTAGTCTGCTTTGAAGCATTTCAAAGCAATCCGACCAAACCACGTACCTTAATATAATACATTAGCGCGAAGCTGGTTTCTGCAGAGTCCTGTGTTTCTATGAACAGCAACTTGTACCTTTGCAGACTGTCGATAACTCCCTGGTCATACCAAGCAGCTACCACCGACTCCAAATACAGATAGGATGTGAAGAAACACACTATACCATCAGGGACATTTGCCGCAACCTACATCGGGAAACGTTTCTGCTCATTAATCGTCGGCTGATGGAACCAAGAAAATACCCACCTCTACTAACAACTGTCCATAATTTCTTATAACTGCGTTATCTTCGCGGGTTTCGAATTTTGATGATATCGCAACTTGGTCGTTACCTTTTGCAACTATCTAAAGAACAGCTAATTGTGATTTTTTTTCCACGCATGATATATTCCTCACCATCGGCAATAAGCACGGCCTCGCCAGAGTCATCGTAAAGGACGACATTATCACAGGCTGAAAATTTAGTATTTTCGGATACATGTCCAAAGGTGACAACGTTCCAGACGTTATTACCACCGTTTGGAACCGGTCGAAGACAGGCTTAATTGCTATTGAGGAGTCTAAACAGCTGAAACAAATATGAAGAGATTCCACTAAGCGGCTCACTTTGATAAAATGTTAATAAATTAAGTGATTGGACGCAGACTTTTGGGTTCTGGGTTCCCACTGGCTGGACACGACAGAATCGCAAGAATATTTTAAAACTGACCTGAAATGTAAAATGGGATTTGATACAGTGGGAGTTTTGTCATCAAAGGGCTCAACAATTATTGTGAATCCTTTGGTATAGGTTGAAACTAAGGTGGCCAGATGCGTAATAAGGACAACAGGTCCGAATTCGGTCATATCTGTAATTTCTAAAGTGCGTAAAAGCGACGCTAGACGCTCCGCACAAAACCTTAACGGCTTCCTTTCAATGCACACTTTTTGCTGGACGTCTTTCAAGAAACCCACCGGAGATTCTTGTACCACATGCTGCACTCTTAATCTGCAAAGGAACAGGATTTTATGACTCAAGTCTATATACTTTTAAATGGTTTACCTTGTTTTCAAATATTCGACAAACCGCTTTAGGAAACAAATAAAGTGTTCGGCATTTCGAATATTTCCCGGCACGGCTTCCTGCAAAATTTCATCGGGCAAAACTGGATTTGAAAGTATTAAGTCGGTGTCTCTTGCCACGCTAGCATCTCGTAATCCTTCTACAAGCCGCTGATATTCCTCTTTCAGTTTTCTGTGATCTTCATCTCGCATTCTGAACACCAAAAATAAAATATGCTACAAACAGTTACAGATGCAGAACGCAAACTTCCGTACTCAGACACATGTTTCTCCAAAGTTCCTATATTGGCTGTTGCTCTTTCTATGGTTCGCTTGTGTATTTTTACACTCATAGAATCGATGCATACGTTATCAATGTTGTGCGCTTCGTCAAATATAATGACGGATTCTCTTGCAAGCTCTTTCGAGACCACATCTGCGATTTTTGGGTCCAGAAGATAATGGTAACTGTAGACTACTATATTGGCGTGCATAATCTATAAAGGATAAAGTTCCTAATTAAATACTTTCACGTTCACGCCTCTTTTATTATATATATATTATATGCATTGTTAATTTTTCCCCTGGAAATACTTACAGCAAATCTGGCCAAAAAGTACGGACACCAATTCCTGTCCCTTCCATACTGTTTGATGTCGTCTAAGTTATAAACACCGTAAGGCAGATTACTCTCTTTGCCATCAAGCGAAAAGCCCTCGTAATATTGGCAAACTGCGGTGGTATCATCAATATTGTGCCTTTCCCTGATGTAACTGGCAGTGAGACTGTGGCACTTTCCATCCACAATTTTACCTTCTCGTTCCGTGCTTACCTACAAACCCCCAAATTCCTGCACAATCCTCAAAACACAAACAGGAAAACGCGGCCCTACTTGTGGATGGATGCACATGTTCTTTCTGGAACTGAGCACTAACCCAACCAGACTGGGATACTGTCCATCTAACTTATCATAGTAATCTAAGAGCTTCTTCAATTCCTCCATGACTTTTTCGATTTCAGGAACAGTACGAGAACAGTAGATTAATTTGCGTACATCATGAGGATGCTCAATCATGTACGCTACAATGAGCGACAGTAAAGTGGTGGTTTTTCCCGTTCCCGAAGGCATTTCCAATAAACAGTGGCCCTGAAAAAATTGCAATTATCCTCTATTTGGAATTTCCAGGTAGATTAGGAGAATACCTTGGCATCAAGGGCTTTTTTAAGTTCGCACATGTAGGCATACTGTTCTGGATAAATATATTCATATGGAAAATACACAATAAGGCCGTCTACGCTTAACCTGCAACATTACGATTGATTCAAATTGTCACCTGAAAAGTGGGAAACAGACCTCATTTTAAATACTTAATATGTTTTGCTATTATACGGAAAATATGATAAAATTAATTATATTGGTACCAAGTTGTTTACATCGCAATGACCGGTAAATCGGGTTAGAATAATCGCGTTCTTCCTGTCCGTCGTTTCCGACATTTCTCGTTCGACCTAACCGCAATTAGTATGTTCGGAGAATTTTATGTCGTAGTAAACATCAAGTTTTCTTGAGTGAAAAAATAGTGTTTTTACGGTGTGTTTTGTGTGAACCTACAAAAATGGTGTGCAAAGACACTCTTCGCATCAAGCATTTACCGAAGGAACTAACAGATGTACAAAAAGAGCAATTTATCCGGCATTTTGGGGCCATTAAAGTAAAGGTTATAACTTCAAAAGCAAAAGCAACGTCTGTAATATATGCTAAGTTTGAAAGTGAAGAAATTGCCAAGAATCTGCTGTTCAGATTACATCAGATCAGCATATTAAACTGTAGACTTTCCGTAGAGTATGCCGACCATGATATTCTGCAGGGACAACTGTCGGCTCAGAAAGTAGACGTCCGCGAGGGTCCCGATAAAAGGTTTTTCAAAAATTTCATTAACCACGTGAATGCGTTCAATGATTCTGTTGGCTTTCATCAGCCACCACCTTCACATTTGAAATATAATTACCCCAAAGCAAATCGGCCCACTATCAACAATATTGCCCATGCTTTGGCTACGGTTCCTCGCTTCTACACTCAAGTGCTGCATTTGATGAATAAAATGAATCTTCCTCCACCGTTCGCCATGCCTGAACCGCCAATGCATTCAATTCCAATATCTCCATTTGCTACACAGACGCAACGCACCAACCAAATTGGTCAGAAACGAAAAAATCCTTCCTCCTCCGAATCAGAACTGGAAAGTGATGGAGAGGGAGGGAACCCTAGTGAAATTATACCCGAAAAGAGAATGCTGACTCAGAAAAAACCATTGAAACGAGCGAAATTCATCACGCAGGAAGTGGCCCGAGGCTCAGCCCCCTCCAAGCCAGTAGAGAAAGTGGAGGAGGTTTTTGAGAAGGTTATTTAACCCATTTATATTGATGAATATGCTAAAGAGGCTTTTTTTCCTAGTTTCCTAAATGTTTAAGAATTATTGTGTGTTTATCAACACACTCAGTTCCACAAATACTGGTGCACCGATGGGTGTCTCCATTATTTGCCATGGAAAATTAAGAATCATGATTTCTTAACCCTGAGAAAAAACCCAAAGGACGAAGCTATAAATTACAAAAAGTATATTAAAATCAGTTAACGGATAGAAAAATTAGAAACCGTTGAACTTTACCAAATAATGACAATATTTTGTTTGTTTATTTTTATATTTATGCGATTCTGCACTTGTGACTGCCTCCGACTTTCCCATGATAAGACTCTCATTTAACTCAACCAGTGCATTTTG